AGACAGAAGCAGTTAGGGGCAGTCAGGAAGGCAGGCAGGCGAGCAGTTGAAAGCCAGCAGTCCTGGATTGTGAGAGGGTAGTCAGACATCCCTTGAGGGGTCCCAGATCCCAGATTGGAGAGAATTCAGGCTGTGCTGAGGGACACCATCCCCTCTCCCCCTGCCATGCATGAATTTTATGCACTGGGCCTCGTGTGTGTGTGTGTGTGTGTGTGTGTGTGTGTGTGTGTGTATGTGTGTGTGTGTGTGTGTGTGTGTGTGTGTGTGTGTGTGTATAGTGGATAAATATAAATCAGGTTTAATGCATTTTATTTTCTCCAATTATGATCCAGGCTACAAAGACTGGGATAGAAAACTCAATTCCAGTACCGTCTAGCTATGTAAATTCAAGCAAGTTAACCATTTGAATCATAATCACCCCCTTCCCCCCATCCCACACCACATTGAAAATGGCAGTAATTCATACTTATTCACAGGATTGTGGAGAAGCTTAGATGAGGCGACTTACATAAGCATTCTGTCATACCCAGCACATGGAGGTGCTCAGAAAATTTCAGTCTCTATCTTTTGCTGTTTGCTTTAAGGTTTTCCATCAGAGTTAGCAAACATTGTGGTTTGCCACAAGAGGGCAATGTGAAATGGAAATAAAAATCTATGCCTAAACAACAACAAAATTCCCAAACCCCAAAACTATTCCTAATTCTATGTCTATGTCTATCTCTATGTAGCTCTAGCTCTAGCTTAATCTCCTTTTCTTCTTTGGGTAAACATAGTTAGTTGTTGAGGATTTCATGCTTAGAATTCTGTTTTCTTTCTTCATCCTGTTCTTCAGAAATCTGTCATCATCATAAAATCTTAGCTCTAGAAGGGACTTCAGAAGTCATATTGTCACCTGGAACAGATCCACACTTTGTAGTTATTCCGGCTCTTCCTTGGTGATCTCTACCCGCTGCTCTCATGGCCCTTCTGGGAAGTTGCACCCTACACCTCGAGTGTTAGTGATGCACACCTCTTCCCCAGATACCTCCACTTAGTGACACTAACTGTACCTCCAGCTTAGCATGGGAAACTAAGCCTATTGCATTCATTCTAGAAAACACTTCTGAGTCATACAGGCTCAAACAATGGAGAATTACTTACGTTGGATTCATGACAACAGTGGAAAGGAAGATGGGAAGAGTTGTATGCGTTTGAGGAGAGTTCTTTATTTTATTTTTAGCTGCAAAAAATAATGTTAGCAGGTCACATAGGCTGCTGTCACTAGTGATATGACATGTATACTATCCCATCAGAGAATGCAACATCATACATCAACCAATATGACATGAATTGTGTGGGACCAATAAATAGATAGATAGATAGATAGATAGATAGATAGATAGGTAGATAATGCTTTAGGATAAGGCAGAATAAACAATACTGCTACGAATGGGCTCGATTCGAATTTCCTTTTTCTGTTAGCAGAAGGCTATCTTAGAAAAATCTCTTGATTAAAAACTTTATGTAGGCCCAAATGGTTTTAAAAACAATCAGATTCTTATGTTTTCTTTGCTTCTCTCTGTTTAAAATATGCTCTTATTGATTTCAGAGAGAGGAAGGGAGAGGGAGAGAGAAAGAAACATCAATGATGAGAGAAAACTATTGTTCGGTTGCCTTCTGCACACCTCGGACTGGAAGGTCAACCCGGGCATGTGCTCTGACTAGGAATCAAACTGCAACCTCCAGAGTCGATGCTCAAACAGTGGGCCACACTGGCCAGTTTCTTTGCTTCTCTTATTAATAATTAAATCATCTAAATGAAATAAGTCAGGCACAAAGTTACAGATATTGTATGATCCTACTTATATGAGGTACTAGAGTAGTCAAATTCATAGAGACAGAAGGTAGAATAGTGGTTACCAGGGGTTGGGGGGAGGAGGGTATTGGAAGTTGCTATTTAATGGGCACTGAGTTTCAGTTAGAAAAGATAAACACGATCTAGAAATGAATGGTGGTGATGGTTGCGCAACAGATGGTTGCAGTCTCAGAATCTGAGTCTGGGAAGCCCAAGTCTACAAAACTAAAAAGTACAATAATAATAAGCCAAGAACTTATATGCATATATGCATAACCCATGGACAGACAGTAGTGAGTTACAGGCCTGGGAAGGGGGCAGGAGCAGGGTGTAGGGGGTTAATTGGGGGGAATTGGGGCATCTGTAATACTTTCAACAATAAAGATAAATTAAAAAGTAATAACAACAACCCAAGAATAACACTTATTGAGCATATGTTGAGCACCAGGCTTAAGTGCTAGGTGTGATCTAGGTCAAGGAAAAGGTTTGAGGCAGGTTTACAAATATCATATATTGGTTTACTTTCCCCAAATCACTATTTTGCTCTTTACAGGAAACAAAGCCCCACACATCCCATTTCAGAATTAAGAAAACAAACAGAGACATTTCTCTGTGCCTGTAACCAAGCCAAAGAGTGTGTCAGCCAATAGTATTTGTGAAACTCACTGTGCGGCTGGCAGGGCCACGTATTATAAAGTGGAAATTTTCTGGAGAGGCTACATTCAATCCATTAAAAAAAATAATAAGTTTGCCTTTGTAGACACTCTTTTGTTTAGAAAGCCTATTTTCAGAAAGAATCTGGTTCAGTTATTATGGTGGGAAAAATCATACATGAAAACAACAGTTCAAAACCGACCATAAATCTACCTCAAAGCAAAACTATTTCTGGTGTCTCTCAAGTAGCTGAGTTAATGTGGCATAAGACAAAGCCTGACAAGCAGGTATAATTAAAGGATGAATCACAGGGCTAAGTCATGGGTAACTCTGAAAGTGCCTACAGGGAAAACAGTTCATTATAACGCAGTAAACTTTAGAGGTTAAAGGATGAAGGGTAGGAGGAAAAATCTTTTTTTTCCACGTGAATGCAATGATAGGCTCCAGTGGAAACATATTGATAATGGCATCAGCACATTATCGGTGCATTATTGGTGCAGAGACTATTCTGCCTCGTGTGACATGGGTATTCTTTCTCTCTGTTTTCACTTCCGAGAACTGCTAGGGGTCAGGTACCAGGCTTTGCTTTATTTATCTTCCCATATTCTCTGCCCAGAGCCTGAAAATGTAGACAGTAGGTATAAAACACGCAATTACACACATGAGTGGGTAAAGGATTACCCATTCCTTAGAATCCAGAATAAACCTGTCCTACACTTTTAAAGAAAAATGAAAATTGATATGCAACCTAGTCAATGGCGCTTACCAAAGACTGTTGATGTGCTTTTTCAAAGAATTAATCACAGGACTTTTATTTAATGAAAAACGGGAAGGGATTATTATATTTTATCCAGTTTCATATCGCAGCCACTGGCATTGGATTCAGTTTCTTGGAACGGCAACATGGCAAAAGTTGAAAGGAAACTATTTGGCCTGACTGCTATTTTGTCTTTTGGCTATATGATGACTAGATGTAAAAACTCAGGTGGAAAACGGCCCCTCTGCTTCTGTAGCTCCTTTAACCGACCAATACCAGCATGGTTACTCGCTCCACCCCAGCACATACCAGAAGATAAGGGGGGTTTAACTGACAGACACAAGTTAGACATTTAGCATGAAAGTGGCCATTCTCCCAATAATTTGAGGTCTAACCATCCAGGAAGGTCTTTAAGTCTAATTTTTTCCTGGCTCAGAAAAGTTTAACTCAACTATACTGTTTACATCATCTTATCTCTTAGTTTAAGGTTTATGTGCTACTTTTAATGTTTATGTGTACTTAAAAAAAAAAAAAAAACTATTTGGAACTCAAGTCTTGACAGTCTCTGAAACTTAATTGGGAAAAATGTCAAGCACTTTAATGGAATTTTTCCCATGATCTGCAGAAGAGTTTTGTGTTTTTTTTTGTTTTTGTTTTTTTTTAAACAGATGGTTCAAATGGACAAAGCAGCGAAGACAGAAATTAAAAGCAGATTCTTAAGAAAAATAACTGGTTCTCAGAAATCCTAGAGATGATGGCAGGACTAGTGGTAACACAGCAGTCTCTCTTGCTGTCAAGCTCTGGAGAGAACAGATATTTATTAGGTGAGCCCCTACCAGAGGAAGGGGAGCGGCCTCTCTGTGGGAATTAGCTCTTCATTTAGAACGCCGGCCAACTTCAACAATTCCAAAGTCTTCCCGCTCTGGGGCAGTTTCATCCCATCCAGGTGTCCACACAAGCTATAGTGTTAGGAGGCAAATAGGTTTTTTCCTAGATAGGACCATCTAAGTCCCAAGTGGCTCTTTGGGTATGGGGGAAGACCTAAAATCTTCCCACCTTCTCAACAACTTGGAAAAACAACTCTACACAGCCCAGGGCTTCTTCTGAAGCTTTCGTTTTGAATAGAAAAGCCCTGACTTTTCTTGGATCAATGAAGTGTGCGGTGGGAAAGAGACAGGAAAACGTTTCAATCTCCGGTGTCTATGCATTCGTCTACCAGTGTTTCCCAAACTTTTGACATATGTGTACCCCTTCTATAATATTCGTCACGCTGAGTACCCCTCGTACTCATGAGAACGTAGAATTAGGCGCAGCTAATCAAGGTGCCGTGCATATCCCCACCAAACTCCGGTGCAACGTGTACCCTCACCAAACTCTTCCCGTACCCGTGGGGGTACGCGTACCACACTTTGGGAAACACTGAACCAATGCTTTCAAGTAGCATCTTCCAACTAGGCTTCCCCATGTTCTCTCCAACTTTGGGGACAGGGAATGCTGGTTTGTAACCCCGAGGAGGAGTCCAGGGAGAGGGTGGGGGGCGGGCCGAGGGGTAGAACAGAGCTACGCTGGGGGTTTGAGAACCTCCTGTGGAGTGCAGGGGACCCCGAAGAACTGTCACCACAGAGACTGCCAGGAGCCCAGCGGGGGTGTGGGGGGCAGGGTGACCGCCCAGGGCGCAGGCTGGGAGCGCAGTGCGGGCGGGGCGGGGCCGGGGCAGGAGGGTGAGCGGGAGGAGCAGGGGCGGGGTGGCGGGGTGGGAGCGCGGAAGCGGGGGAGGGTCCCGGAGCCCGGGTCCCATTCGCCGCGAGCGCTCCGAGCCTGCGTCCGCGGAGGCGGGGAGGGCTGGCCCGGCGGCACGGCCCGCAGCGGCGGCGGCGGCGCTCCGGGCTCTCAGCGCACACACACGCCCTCTGTCCCGGGAGCGGGGATCGGAGCTGCCGGAAGTGTGGTGCGGGCCGGAGGCAACTTTCCTGCTCCCGCCGCGGCCCGGAGCCTCCCGCCTCGCTGCAGCAGCGACCATGCGCCGCCAGGGCGACACCCTGAGCGGACCCGCGCCTCGGCCCACCCCCGGCGCCGCCCGCGCCCGCCTCGCCCCTGGTGCGCACTGAGTCTCCCCTCTGCCCCCCGCGATCGCGCGCCACGGGAGCCCGGCGCCCACGGCGGGGCGCGCGGGGCCCGCTTCCTCCGCGCAGTCCCCCCGCGTCCCGGCGCGGCCCCCGCCCGGCCCGCCGGCCCCGGTCCCCGCCCGCCCCCGCCCTGAGCGCCGGGGGACAGTCAGTCCGGTCCCCCGCGGCCGCGGGCAGCGCCGGGGCCATGGGGCTGCCCACCCTGGAGTTCAGCGACTCCTACTTGGACAGCCCGGACTTCAGGGAGCGCCTGCAGTGCCACGAGATCGAGCTGGAGCGGACCAACAAGTTCATCAAAGAGCTGATCAAGGACGGCTCCCTGCTCATCGGGGCGCTGCGGAGTGAGTGCGGCGGGCGGGGGAGGGCCGGGGGGTCCGGGCTGACCCCACGGGCGCGGGTCCGCGGAGCTGGGAAGGAGGAGACGGGGCTTCTTTTGTTTGAATGGGTTTGGGGACAAAAGCTGAAGAGCACCCCTGCTGGTGGCCGACAAAGTTTGTTCTGGGTGTTCTGGACTTCCCTCCAGGCCGCAGAGAAGGGACAGCTCTCACCTGGATAGACACTGGGATGGATCCGGAGTGGAGTTGTGCAAAAGCCAGCTTTTTGTATAACGGGCTGGGGGGAAAAAGTTGGGGACTGTTGGCCTTTTAAAAGAAAGAATTATTATTATTATTATTATTATTATTATTATTATTATTAATTTGAGCACTTTAACAATAATCCTCAAGGAAGGATTCAAGAGTTTGTTTTAAGGCTGAGCAGAGCCCATCTGTTTAGTGGTATTCAAAGAATAGGATTCATTCCCTATGTATATCAGTGGCTCTTCACCGGGCACCATCTTTTTGAGTTGGCTTTAAAAAAACACACACATGCATTTGTAGAGTTTGTGGCGATACTGGTGTGAACAGACCTACCGAGCTATTGGTCCTATAAAAGGGAGATGATGGAAGACCGCACGGGCCAGTGGATTTTATCTCAGGACAAGTTTTTACAAGCATCCCAGTGTGGGGTTTGCATTGTAAATCCGGTGATGGTGGAGTCCCTGAAGGCCAGTCAGAATCTCTGATCCTCCAAAGGAGTAAAGCATGCCCTCAGGGGCTTCTGCCACTTCCCATCCCACACCCAGGAACTGGATCTGCACTTTGAATTACTAGGACCTTAGGAAAAGAAACTCATAGTTACATCTTAATAGAAGCTTCTGAGAGCCTTAGCCAATGAGCAGAAGTACTGGTATCTCTGGCCTCTGATGGCTGGCGAAGTGTTTTCATCAAGTGGGGAGGCCTGTGGATGACCCAGCAATCCCTAAGGCAAATATAGGGGAAGCATCATTGTATAGGTCAAGTACAAGGTCAGTCACAACCTGGGGGAGGTGTATGTGTGTCAGAAAAAGGCAACACTAGTATCTGATCTGTATTGTGAAGCACGTGTTAATAATCCCAAGGATGGAGTTCAGCAAAATGTATTGAAATTAGCCCGCCTCGGGGTGGCTCAGTGGTTGAGCGTAGACCTATGAGCCATAGGGTCACAGCTCAATTCCGGGTCAGGGCACATGCCAGGGGTTGCAGGCGCCATCCCCAGTGGGGGGCATGCGGGAGGCAGCTGATCACTGACTCTCATTATTGATGTTTCTGTCTCTCCCTCTCTCTCTCTGAAATCAATAAGAATATATTTTCAAAATTTATTGAAACCACTGTGCTTCCAAATCCTTTTTTCCTTTCATCATCCCAAATGCTACCACATTTACTTATCACTTATGTTACTTAACCGGGTAAGAGAAATGTGTTTTATGCCCACATTCATTCAATTTCTGAAGCTGAGGCTACTGCTGGTAACAATATTTACTGATTTGTGAAAAACATAACTTATCTGCCTTCTTCCCATCCTGCGTATAGACAAATGCGAGCCCTCCCCCCCTTCCTTTGGGTTTGCGAATCCTGCTGGAGTTCTTGGGATTAGCCTCCTTGTCGCTTAACAGTGGTTTTCAACCTTTCCAATGCCGCTACCCTTTAATACAGTTCCTCATGTTGTGGTGACCCCCCAACCATAAAATTATTTTCGTTGCTACTTCATAGCTGTAATTTTGCTACTTTTAATGAATCATAAATATCTGTGTTTTCCGATGATCTTAGGTGACCTTGCCAGCGATTCATTAAATCTGTATTAAAGGGTCCTGGCATTAGGAAGGTTGAGAACCACGGCTCTTTAGAGGGCGTGATGCCTCTTCAAAACGTTTCCCCACCTCAGAGTGCTAAAAGCTGGGCCAACTCTCGCTGGAGGTGCGGAAGGATCTACAAATGACATTTCAGTTCACTGCTGGAGATCAGTGTGAGTGTTTCAAAAGTTGACAATCCTTACATTACTGTGGTTACTAGTTATTTTCCTAGTAACATTGTGTGCTTTATTATGATGTTTGAGTCCAGCCTTGCAGAAACCAGGTGATTTTCCGTTCTTCCAGATCCGTTCTTCCCATCTTAAGGGAAGAAATCTTGAGTGCAAGTTTCAAGAACGAGTAGACCCTGCCTTGTGACTTTGGCCTTACGCACTCAACTATTCAACCTGCTGTCTTTCTAGGATCCGTAGATTTGTGGTGGGAGTGCATTATAGTCACGTGCTGTACAGCAGCATTTCGGACAGCAGCAGTGGGGCCAGAGGTTATAAAGGAGCTGGAAAATTCCTATGGTTGGTGAAGTATAGTTGTAGCGTGGCGCATTCCTTGCGTGTCTGTGGGGATACTGGTGGGAACAAACCTACTGCGCTGCTGGTCCTATACAAGGATAGCACAAATAATTATGTGCAGGACATAGTACATGATAATAAATGACTGCATTACTAGTTTACGTATTTACTGCACAATAGCTTTTGTCCTATTTCAGACTGTACCCTTTGTACTTAAATGAAAATTTGCTGCAAAATAGAATGCCACGTAGCACCAGCTTCATGTAGCTCCTGTTCTTCGGAGTGCATATTGTCTCTTGTACTTGATTTAATCTCACGTGGCTTTATAAATTTAGTGCAGCTTAAGAGTACAGTGTTTGTAGTCTGTGGTGGTGTACAGTAATGTCCCCGGCTTCTCATTCACTTACCACTCACTGACCCACCCCAAGTGATTTTCAGTCCTGCAGGCTCCATTCATGGTAAGTGCCCTATACATATGTACCATATTTTATCTTTTTTAAAATCCTCACCCAAGGATATGTTTTTATTGATTTTAGAGAGAAAGGAAGGGAGAGAGAAAGAAACATTGATGCCCGAGAGAAATATCGGTGCCAGAGAGAAACATCCATTAGCTGCCTCTTGCACTTTCGGGATCGAACCCGAGGCCTGGGTATGTACCCTGATCAGGAATCAAACCCATGACCCTTTGGTTCATGGGCAATGCTCCAGCCAACTGAACCACACTGGCCAGGACCCCTATTTTATCTTTTATACCATATTTCTACTGTACTTTTCTATGGTTAGATAAACACATATAGTGTTCAAATTGCCCACAGCATTTAATATAGCAACATGCTATAGTGGTTTGTAGCCTAGAAGCAACTGGCTATATCATATAGCTTAGGTGTATTGTAGGCCATACAACCTAGGTTTGTGTGAGTACAGATGCTCACACAATCTATAATAATAAGAGCATAATATGCTAACTAGACCAGACGTCCTTCTGGATGACCTTCTGGGACGACCTTCCGGATGAAGCCGGGGCTGCTGGAAAGCCTGGGTTGGGTGCCTGCAGGAGGTGGGAGGGAAGCCTGGGTCCTGGGTGCTGGGGGAAGGAAGGCCTACTCCTGCACAAATTTCATGCATTGGGCCTCTAGTAATGAAATCAAAATCTAATGATGCATTTCTCAGAATATTTCTCTGTCGTTAAGCAAAGCATGGCTGCAATGTAACATTTGATTATTCCTTCTCTCGTTGTGGAAGAAAAGCATTTTATTCCCTGGTAATAGAATTCCCAGCCTCAGCTGCCACATAGGAAAGATTTGGAGCAGAGGAACCCTTGAAGTCACATGATGGCACTGGTTTTTCCCACCGAGCCACCTTCTGGCCCTTGGGGAGGATGCTCTGAGGCTGGGCTGCAGCTGCTGACTGCCTGCTGTCTGGAGTGGCCAAGTCAGTGCAGCCTGCTTAGAAGGGAGCCCTCCTTCCCCCCAGCCTGCCCACTCAGACTGTTTTCCCTTTCTGTCTCAGAAAGCCTTCACCTTCTCTATCCTGAAACCAAGCCTTTCCTTCTCTATACCTACTGATTCAGTAGTGTTTCCATGATCCTTTTCAGGTTTGGTTTTTTTCCTTTTTTTTTAAAAGTACTTTGCTGTTGTTTTCATTAACAATTAATGGTTTCTTACTATAACTTTCTTGTACAATCAGCACATTTCTAGGCATCTGCTATTATTTTCATCTTAGTTAATAACTTTTCTGGTGAGAATGTTGGCATGCACTTTTGATCAATTCATGCGTGACTGCTCCAGTAGGAGTTATATATACTCCTTGACCTCTGATTCATGATGTAAGGTGTCTTTGGTGGAGTATTTACAAGGATCCTTATAAGTTTAGACCTTAAGAAGATGCTTTCCATTTCAAATATATCTAAGATACTTGACATATTTTCGAGTGAGTGATTGCATTTCATATTCACATCTGGTCTTGGGGAAATGGATGACAGTTTATTCAGTGGATTGACATAGGCCTGAGTTTAAGTTTGGTGCTGTCCATTGCTGTGTGATAATTAGTAAGTAACTTATCTTCTCTGGGTCCTACCTTTTCTGTAAAATGAGGGAACATCTATAAAAATCTTACTGCTAAGATTATTTGTTCATTTTATTACAAGACACATGACCATTTGGTGAGTGATATGTGAGAACATTTGATACTGAGTGAACTGGGTTTTAGTTCATGCTGTATGACTCAAAATCTCCACCCTTTTCCAAATGTTATTCCACAAACTTTGTTCTTTATTAGGTACTAGTCTTTTTTGTTTGTTTGTTTTTTAATATATTTTTATTGATTTTAGAGAGGAAGGGAGAGGGAGAGAGAGGTACAAACATCCCATCAATAATGAGAGAGAATCATTGATCTGCTGCCTCCTGCATGCCCCACAATGGGGATTGAGCTTGCAACCTGGTCATATGCTCTAACTAGGAATTGAACTGTGACTGCCTGGCTCATAGGTCAGTGCTCAGCCACTGAGTCATGCCAGCTTGGCAACAGGTGCTAGTCTTAAAATTTGAGTTGTGAAATTATAGGCTAGTTTTCTTTATTTATTTTCTCTTTTCATGTTTCAAAGAAACATTTCAAAATGACTTTTTTATATATTTCCCCCTTTCTCTTTCTTTATACTTTTGAATTCAAA